GCCTAGGCCTTGCCGAGGTGGCCCTCAAGGGACTGCCGAGGTGGCCCTCAAGGGACGGGACCTTGCTGGTTTGAAGTCACAGGTTCGTATGAAATGTGCCTTTGTGCCCGCGAAACTGTTTTTTCTTCCTTTTTGAGTGAGCTAGCAGGTGCAGAGCTTTGTGCTGGGTTCTAGAAATTGTGTTTTAAAGCAAATGTGTTAATGACAGACTACCTGAAGCCTATTGCTGAAGAAGAGAGAAGAATAGAGGCTGAAGAGAAAAAGAAACGTGAAGAACTTGAGCGGATTGCAAAAGAGCTTGCAGAAGGTAGTCCCTCGATTTAATTTATGCATCCCACGCCAAAGCGCACACACTGGCTTGCAGGTGGACTGCAGTTTTACTGCAGTGTTTTTTGGAGAGCTTTAGGCTTGTAGCCAGTGGGCTGCAGACCCATGTGGACTCATGGAGCAGTGGTTAGGGTTATGTGATGGGTAGATAGTGCTGCTGTTTTACAAGCTCTTCAAAATGTAAGCATCGGTACAGGAAGAGTTAAAAACACTTTTGCAGCCAAACGGTCTTGTTAAATGGCTATCTGAATTTCCACTGAGAAAACAAACTGCTAAACACTGCTGACTATTCTGTGAGGAATAACTGGAACCGTGTATTAACTGTACTCAGATTTACCTTATTCAGCTGGACACAGCAAACGTATCATCTCTTTTCTCTGTGCAATACAGAAATCTCACAAATGTGACTGATGATCTCAGCCATAAGTTGTAGGCAACTGCTTGTAATTGCAACTCAAACTTTTAAGTGGTATCACTGGCGTTGTGTTAGAGGTCAACTTCATTTGTTGTACCTCTCGCATGAAGAGAATTATGCTGAAGGTGATCAGTTGGGATTAGGACTGCTGCTTTTTTCTCATTCCCTTCCACCCTGCAGTATTCCTGCCGCAGCATGCTTTCCCTTGTCCTTAGGATTATTTCTTGGGTCCCCTGTGCATTTCTAACGGAGGATTCGTCCCCCCACCTTACAGAAGAGTGTGCTCTCTAGCTTGAATTCACCTAGGTTTTTTTAGGTGGACTTAAAAAGAACTTTAAGAAAATGGATTAATAACTCAAGCTGTTCTTGGTGCAGCTACACACTTAGTAACTATTTCCCTGGGAAATAGTACATTTGCATTGTCCTAAACAAGACTGATGTTGAACAAAACCCTGTAAAAATTAAATGAACTACACATATATAAAAACAAATATGCACGTTGGTGAATTGTATCGCTTACTAGAGATAAAGCTGTTTTGCACAGCTGTTTACCATCTGTTTACCATCTTAGTCTCCATTGGTCATGGACTAAATAAATGGATCTTTTAGATGTTTTCTAGTTTAGCTGAAACTTCTTGTGTTTTTGGAGATAGAGACTGTACTGTGGTGTTGCTGCTCCACTTAAGAATGGAATTCTGTGATTATTTCTTTAGAATGTTTAATCTATTTAAAAGTGGCATGCAGGTGACTGGCCTGCTTTCCCAACAGTGGTTTTGGTGTGGTTTTCCAGTTAGAAAAGAAGTTGTTAAAAACGCCATTCAGTGCAATGCAGTTGTTGCAGATTGTTCTTTAAAGATGGATAACTGGACGTATCTGTAATGGTAGCTTTTTCTGGGCTTATTTGAATTGTCAGTTCAGAAAACTGTCATTTACTAATGAGTAAGCCAAAAAAGTGCCTTTACCCCAAAGCAATGAATACAGTTCTGTTGAATAAGAAGCGGGAATCGTAAAAGCTGGCTAGAAAGAAATGGCATACTTAAAGGTAGCCTTTGATCCCATTAGTGCTTTGCATATTTTAGTACTGCATGGGAGTGACTAGTAGTCCTAACTATGTTTGTTTTTTCTTCCCTTGTAGCAAGTGAAGAGTCCATATTGAAATGAACAAAAGATTGGATCTTAATTTCACATATGGAAATACATGGCTAGGCTCTGAACTGTTTGGTAGTTGGTGGACTCTGCATGCTATACTATCAATAAAGTATTTACAACACTTCAGTTGGTATTTTTTTGAGTGAATTGCACAGAAGAGCAGCAGAAGTACTTACAGAATGTGACAGGAAGCGTTTGTCACAAGCTGGCCATTGCTGCAGCTGAAACACCCCATTGTATTCCTCCAGCAACAGCCGGTCACTATACCTATTACTCATAGGTAATGTTTGTGATCAGAAAATACATACAATTGAATATATATGGGCAGGTGGAGGAGGCTGGCATGGCACTGGCTGCCTGAACCTATTTATTAAATGGCTGTGCCCAGGAGTTGCTGTCATCTTTTTTCAGCTTTGTTACCACAGTGGATTATTGCACAATTCTTGCATTTGACAGTGCAGTCAAATTTGGTGACTTGTCAAGCCATGCTGAGATCTGAGGAATTAGTGCTGACTTGCTAGTCAGATGTTTCTAAACACATACCTTTTCAGATTTAACAAATGGTCAAATGTTGTTCCCCAAAACTAAGAACAAGTTACAGTCAAACTGTAGTCTGTCTCTTTTACAAGAAGTGGCTGGCCATGCAGGTGACTGATGTTTAAAAAATTACTGGCTTTTAATGTGAAATTAAGTCTGCTTTTAGCATGTAAGCTGCTAAGGCATTTCCTCAGCTGTACAGACCTCAGATGTCCCAGAAGAAGGTAAAAAGCCTATGCCTGTAGACTGTGGTGTTGAGTGGCTCGTTTTCTGTTCTTGTTTTTCTCACTGTAAATAATACTAGTAACACAAAGATTCAGTGGGTCTGGCTTCTTATTTGGACAATAGCTAGCTTCCTTTTTCTGACATTGCAGATTAGACAGCTGAAGCAGTGATTTCAGATCTAAATCCTTCTAAGTGATAGCAGTCTTTCAGGAAACATTGTCATATGTTTTATTAAACTAATTGCTCTTAATA